GAACTTTTATGTTATTGCTGCACCCCTTACTGATCTCACAAAGAAAGACACCCACTTTCTTTGGACATCGGACTGTCAGCAGGCTTTCACACGCCTCAAGGAGGTCTTGATGCGTGCACCTGTTCTAAAGTTACCTGACACTACCCTTCCCTTCGTACTAACTACTGATGCTAGCCAGTATGGGGTTGGGGCAGTATTTCAGCAAGATGGTGGGCATGGTCTGCAGCCAGTTGAGTATACGAGTAAGAAGATTAAAGTAAAGAAGTTGCAGGATTCTACGTACGAGGAAAAGTTGTATGCTCTAGTGTCAGCGCTAAAGAATTGGAAGCATTTCCTCATGGGCAAACACTTTCAGATATATTCAGATCACTCCACCTTACAGTGGATGCAGACCAAGGGGAACTGAACGACAAGCTTGCGCACTATATTCAGTTCATTGATCTGTTTGACTTTGAACTGAAACACAAGAAGGGCTGCTACAATCGTGTAGCAGAGGCCCTTTCTCGTACGCCTGACACTCTCTGCCTGATCTCCTCTACTTATACTTTTGGGGAGAGCACTCGTCAGACCATTGCCCAGTTATTGCCACAGGACCCGATTTTTGGCCCGATTGTCAGGAATTTGCAGACTGATCCTGCCTCTGAACCAGGATACATTTTAGTTTCAGATCTACTGTAGACTTGCAGCAGAGGAGAGGAACGCCTGTGCATCCCTCAGGACCGCCAGCTGAGGACACTCATTATGTCTGAGTGTCATGATGCTCGTGGCCACTTTGGGGCCTTGAAAACGTTGGCGGCCCTGTCGCAGCGGTTCTTCTGGCCGGAGATGAGGAAAGACATGTTGCACTATGTTGAGACCTGTGAGTTATGCCAAAGGAACAACGTCATTCGCCGACCTCCCCTTGGCCTGCTGCAGCCACTTCCCATCCCTGATGCACCAGCACAGTCAGTGGCTATTAATTTCACTGACCTGGGGAGGACCACTCCTCGCAGTATGCGCCAGGTCATGGTGTGTGTGGACAGGTTCTCCAAGTACGCGGAGTTTATTCCTTTGCCAGAGGAAGCCAGAGTCCCGGTCGTGCAGACGGCCTTTGCGGATAGGTGGGTTACTCATCATGGACCACCCACCTCCATTGTCAGCGATAGAGATCCGCGTTTCTGCAGCAATGAGTGGCAGTCCTATTGCAAGGACTACCTCCAGACTGGATATGACATTTGGTCGTCATCCTGAAGCCAATGGGCAGGCTGAAGTGATGAACCAGATTCTTTTCCAGTTGCTGCGTCCTGTGATCAGCCCTGATCAAGATTGGGATCTCCATCTAGGACGGGCACAGCTAGTGTATATCACGTCTATACACTCCTCCACAGGGTTCACCCCTTATCGGTTGCATTGGGACGTGAGCCACGGCGGCCTCTCGATGACATCATCGATAAGGCTACCCCCAGACTGACTCTTGGGACTGCAGCATTCACCAGGCAGTACAAGAGGGATATCGAACGAGCCAGAGTTAACCTGCTCAAAGCCCAAAAGGCTATGACCCAGCAGGCTAACAAGCATCGTCGACCATCCCCCATCCGCGCTGGTGACTGGGTCTGGGTACTCAGTTCTGAGCTATCGCGGGAGGAGGACATTTCGCCCAAGCTGTTGCCACGTTATATGGGTTCATGGCAGGTTTTGGATACAGTGGGAGCTGACCCTTTTGGGCCACCTTATCATGTGGATGTCCCACTGCATCTACAAACCTACCCTATCTTTCATGCATGTTGTTGCCGTTTGTCCCACCTGATGCATTTCCAAACAGGCCTCCTCAATTTGGTCCCCCGATCCCTGGGAAGGGATATGAGGTGGAAAAAGTTGAGGATGAATATGGTACATGCCCGGATAAGGAGTACCTTGTGAAGCTTCTTTATCAGCCCCATACTGAGGATCGCTGGTTTACTCACAAGGAGCTTCTGAAAACAGCAAAGTCTGTTATCCTCAAATATGAGGCTGCACAAAGGGGAGAACCCCTTCGACGCCCTGCACACCTACGCCCCTAGCTCGGAGGTCCTCGCTCCGGGGGAGGGTAGGTCTGCAAGGACTTGCTAGTTCCAGGTTGCCTGTAGCCTCTCTCAGACGAGGCTGTACCCTAGGTAGGGACAGATTCGTAATTTTGTTTGGCTGAGGGCTAACCAAGAGACCTACCTGTAAGGGAAAGTCGTGAGGGACATATTTGTAAATATAGGAGATATGGACCCACTACTAACTCGAATTTCCTACAGTTACCCTAACTGCGAACAGCAGACTCGGGCTACCCCTAGGACAGACAGGCCCAATGGGCCTACGCTGATAAACGGTCCTCTCGCCTATAGCCGGGTAGGGAGAGGCCCTAGAGGCCGAAACAGAAACGGTACCAATCGGTCAGTCAGTCCTGTCTAGGTTGTGTCTAGGCTAGTCTAGGGTATAGATAGGAGGGAGACATTGGTCCTAGGCTTTTGGCAGTTGACACTTCATGGTGGAAGTTGCTGCGCACATGGTATCAGGTCGTGGTTGCTGATTCCAGTGTGGGAGACGGCGAACATAGCCAGACCTTCGGAGCGCTGACTGACCAGACTAGGGTCAACGCTGTCCGCTCTGACTCTTTGGGAGTCAAAGCGGTCTGGGCTATCAGAGGTCTGATGTGTTGGAGCACGTGGTGCACTGCTGACCCTCCTCAGGAGTAGGGTCCCAGTGGCAATGCAGCCATAGCTGCATCTTCTCAGAGGATACCATCGTTTGGACTTCATCTTCATCAGGGACTGTTGGCGCTAAGCTTCTTCCTCATCATCTGAGTGGCGATTGGCTCTGGGAGCCTGTTTCATCTTGGCGCACGCCACTGAGTTGGATGTCAGGGTGGCGCTGGGTGTTACCTGTCCTGGTGCTATTTTTAGCTGTTCGGTGTGTGGGGTCGAGGCGCTCCTCTGAGGGTAGCGCAACAGGGTTCTGAGGCTATTCAGTGAAAACGATACTCTGAGATTAATAAACAGTTGCAATATTGTGTTTGAGTCCTCATCTCTTCATTGATTTCTGGCTGTGATCACTCGGTTGTCTTCTATGAACGATTGTTGGGACTTGTGTGGAGGGAACTCACTGTATTGTGTATTCTGTCACTTCGCTCCCCTGAGTCTTCCGCTGCTTCCCTTTTGTTGGGCGGTGTGACACTCCACTACCTCTCCCCTTCCTTTTGCGCATGTACGGCCGTGTACGGGAGTTCCTGTGAGTGAGCGTTGATAAATTTCAACGGACAATCATGTTCATAACATAGGGTTGCATACCCGCTGGCCGCCGACGCCAACTGTCAACCGTTTTCCAGCCCGCCAGTACGGCTGACCAGCCTGCTGTCGGCCAACTAGTCCATAGAGGGCCATCCTCTGTTCTTTTTTTTCAATCTGAGTTCAGGGCTGTCCTGTGCCTGCTGAGTACAGCCCAAATCTGCTGAGAAACTTTTGGGGATGGGGGGGAGGGTACGGAGGGTTATAGGGGGGTTAATTGCAGGGTGCCGACCGATCCCCAACAGGTAGGTGCCGATCAGTGGAACGTTCAGCTGGTCGGCCCCCAACCAATCCAGGGTGTCGACCATCGGCGTGACTACTCTGCCTTCTGTGATCTGTACAACCTACACTCCTGCGTCCTCTACCCCTGACACAGGAGAGCCTCAGGCGCCAAGAGAGTCGACAATACGGTTGAACCGCAACTTACAGCACCATTTGTCCTGACCCGTCAGCATAGATGCGTTGGCCAGGGAGCCACGCTCCAATACCAAATTGCAAGGAACCCACCGATGAGGACATAAATTTCCAGTGCTGAAAGACACCAAAACAGAGCAATCATATAAAAGCAAGTCGAAAGCAGAGTTACAAGGTCAGAGTCACAACACATGAACCGGAGTCCTTGATGTAGAAATCCCAACATCACATCTCAATTATACATACAACAGTAGTCCGCTGCTCTTCCCCCATTGTGTCTGCCTATACTGCTTCCCTACTTACCCTATATGCTATCCTACTTCCTATCTATCTATCTCTCTTCTTTGCCCGCTGCTCGTCTCAGCCAACGATGCTTCAAAGTCTGACCACCTCATGTCTCTCATCGAGTCCCACTTCTCAGCGCTGTCCTCTTCCCCCAATCCCAGCGCCACCTACCGAACCACCCAGCACAGATATGGCTACCACTGGCTGCGACGCTTAACCGTGCCAGCCCTCCTCCTTCATGTCTTCAAGCACTCCCTGGCTCCTAAGCAGTGCTATTTTTAGCGCTCCTGGCCCAGAACTCGTGAGTCGGCCTCCAGACCTTTTCTCAAACGAGGGAGGCTGCGTTACTTCCCAACAGCGTCTGCCGACTCCGTATGCCCGACACTTACATTTCTGCCCGCAGTTATTTTTCAATGCCCGGCCTTCACTTACGGCAGGGTCCTCTTTTGTGCAGGTGGCCCTGCTGGGCACCGCTGAGGCCTGCGGCCTTGCATCCTCGTTCTTTTCTAATAAAAGCACAAATGAATGTTGTCATCGCACTTTACAGCCCAGCCATGGCAAGAGGGTACACTCTTGCCGTTGTCGTTGCCTTGGTAATACACGTCGCAATCCCCCATGGAAATGCAAAGACATCTACCCTTCCAAATAACTCAACTCCTCACAACAGCCAAATATTTCTTTTCTTTTTCTTTTGCAACCCGCAAGATCATCTCTACCACTTTAATATCCATCATGCAAATTGGACCATCCATGGACTGTACGAAGGCATACTACTCCACCATACCTGCCTTGGTCTTCTGAGTCACATACCTCCACAACCCCAAATGTGCACCACAACACAGTCATGACGGACAGACATGCACAAAGTCTAAGAAGAAGAAGGGACAGAAGGGAGCATGGTGGACAACGATACACACACTTCTGAATCGAGGGAGAAGACAATGTGGATACAGTGGCAGACAACCATAATTGCAATAATGAAGACAATGGTAGGTGATATTGCTTGCCTACCTATTTTAGCAGCTGGTGCCATCCCAGAGTACTGGTTTCCTATGAGGGTGTCTCCAGCAAGACTACCCGCAACATGGGTTCCATGGCCACCTTGAGTACCATCCGTTGAGTCACCAAACGTGATGTACTGGACCACCTTTCTTCGCAATGGATCATGGATGTTGTACGGAGGGTTTGGCTTGTTTTCATCATAAAAGAAACAATGCTGTCCAGCCATCCACAGCAGCAGTCATCATCACCCCCGCAGCGTGCACCACATTCCCCCCTCGCCCGCCTCTCCCCCGCCACCCCCAATCACCACCACCAGCAGCCAACCCAACCCCAATCACCACCACCAGCAGCCAACCCAACCCCAAATGTCGTCAAGTACACAACAACCAGAGTACCGTACTTCTCATGCATTCTCCTGAAAAGCCACCAAGCTAGAGAGCATGTCATTCATTCCCCAACATTCTAACTGGATGTCAATTGACTTCACCGTGTCAACAGCACTGTCACTTACCCACAACACCAATTCCACAGCTATCCATTCCCTAGCAGCTCCCTTCCCTCCCCGCCTTTCCCCTCAACGTGCAGAAGTGCAGAACAAGGGAGGCATAGCATATATCCATAAAGACAAAATAAGTACGTCCTTCTGATTGCAAGTTTCTCAACCCACCCAAACCAGCACCCCAAATTCTCATACAGTCAGACAAAGTGTGCAGATAGTTGCAGCAGACCCAAGCACTGGGAACAGAGAATCCACTTAGCAATTAACACATCTGAAGAAGCGACACCTTTGTACAAGGAGGAAAATGAAGCTAAGCACAAAAGAGCAATGACCAATATACACATGCACACTCGATGCCTCTGCTTGCCTGCCATGATACGAGCAGAGATTACACAATGCTCAACTCCAGGTTAAGAATATACATGGTGACAACTCAGAGATTATACATGACCAGATTCATGAATGCAGGATGGATCTATTGAGCATTATTCATTTTACTGTTCCATGGGGATACTGTGTGCACGCTTTACATGTCACTACAAAAGAAGCCACAGTTTCAAGACAGTACAAAAGAAGCCACAGTTTCAAGACCTGTGTTTTTAATATGTGTGATGTTTGATATGTGCTGCATACCTAATGAGTGCACTACGGACATACCGTTTGTATGGTATGCATGTGTTTCAAGAAAAAAGAAAGGAGACAACACTTGGCTTTATTATACCGTACAAGATGACCTATTGTGGCTTCGCTAGCAGAGGAAGTTAATGTCTGGGCAGGTATAGGCAATGCGACCCTCCAAAAGTGTCCACCCAATCGTATGCAAGGGTCTAGTGATCGCACTCCGCACTCCTCTGTCTTCCCCTCTCAGCAATTGCCGCCCCTCTCAAATTCTCTTTACTCCCCTATAACCTGGGTGGCAACAAAACTTGTGAACTTGCTTAACACTCCCCCATGCAAAGAAGTCCCCTGCCCTCCTCCCCCCAACTCTCTCTCTGCCCCATCATGTCCAGATAATCATGCAAACCCCTGGACAATCCTCCTTGTTCCCCTCAAAACGCAAAACACTTTCCCTGCCTCCACAACAGATGGTGTGCAAACCATCTTGCAATCCCCAATCTCCCCCTCCCTTTGGAACCATCTTGCAACCCTTCTCAACATTCCCACTCCCTATGGCATGCAAAGCATCTGACAACCCCTTTGGCACTCCGCTACGCACCCCCTTGCATGCAAAGCACCCTGGAAGCCCCTTAAGGACTCCCTTTATCTCCTTCATGGCATGTAAAGCATCTGGCAAACCCCATCCAACACCGCCCATCCAGTTGTTTGAATGTTGATGTCAAAGAGGCTGTGTGAAACGTCTGGCAAACCCCATCCAACACCGCCCCTCCAGTTGTTTGAAGGTTGATGTCAAAGAGGCTGTAAGAGTGCACTGTCCAGCTACTTCCCATACACATGCTCAATGACAAGTGGAATTGGAGAATACACAGAGGAAGCTCACAAAACCAAGAACAGAATTGATTGAATCAATTCTAACTTAATACCGTCCCTCCCCGACTCAATCAGCAGCACGAAATTCCCAGGATCCCAACCACGTTACAACACCCACGAACCAATTAAAAACAGAGTTTCATTCGAACAGGGGAGACTTCTTCTTCCTCCCTCAATCCCCAAGCTCTGCCTATGGCGCCTATGCAATTTACAGTGCACCAATCATCAAGACTGCAACACTGCACCACCCTCCTGTGTCTAACAGATCAGTCTGCCGCAAACCAAATCCCAGCTGCAGACGACGTGTCCACTCAGCATGTGGCATAGCTCCCAAGGTTGAAGAAGAAGAGCACCACCACGATGAAGATGAAGACCTGCCATGTTGAAGAAGAACCGCTGCAAGGGACTACTTTGACAGGCAGCTGCCATACCCCAACAGAACTCATTGGAGGAATCTGCGAACGAGTAAGTATAAAAAATGGCAGCAAATAAATCCGGTCTACGCGACAATGCATCAGCAACCCTGTTATAGCACCCTTTCTTGCGCTTCAGTTCGAAGTCAAATCCATCAATGAACTAAGTGTAACTCGCCAGTTTGTCATCTAACTCACCTTGGGTCTTCATCCACTTAAGTGGAGTGATCATACTAGATCTTGGAGCGTCTCCCAAGCAAGAAATGTTCCCACTGTTTGAGGGCACAGATGAGAGCATATAGTTCCTTTTCATAGGTAAGCCTGAATTGTATGTACCTTTATCTTCGTACTCGTGAATTCCACTGGTTTCATACCAGCCCCATCATCTTGGTGAAGGACCGCACCAACTCCAAGAAGGAAAAAGAGGAAAAGTGACGAGCAATGTTCAAATTCCTTCCGAACAAGCTTTTCCTCTTTTTTTTAGAACTTGTAGAACTATACCTCGAAAAAAAAAAAAAAAAAAAAAAAATCAAAGAATTTTTTCTTTGAAAATACTGGGTTGCATCTGTGGTCAACACAGATGGCAAGGTAGGGTCAGGCAGTTTCAGTACAGGTGCCTGGGTAAGTGCTTTCTTCGATCGGGGGAAAGCTAACGAACAAGTGGCATTCCACCTCAAGGGAACATCCTTGGCTGGCAGATTAATCGGGGGTGTGGCAATAGAGGAAAAGTTCCCGGTAAACTTCTTGTAGTAGGAGGTCAAACCCATGAAAGATCTGATGTCCCTCACAATCTGAGGTTGTGACCATTCCCTGACAGCAGCCACTTCAGAGGCATCAAGGGATAGACCATCTGCAAAAATCACATGATCCAAATACGCAACAGAAGAGACGCCAATTTGTTGATTTTGCATTTATTCCCTCTCAGAATCTGCAGAATCTTTTTAAGATGCGCTACATGATCTTCAACAGTTTTGTTGAACACCAAAATGCCATCCAAATACACCATAACAAACTTATCCAGATATGGTCTGAAGACTTTGTTCATCTCAATTTGGAAGGTTCCAGGTGCATTGCATAAACCAAAGGACATGACCACGAACTCATAGGTGTCATACCGGGTCTTGAATGCAGTCCTATGTCCATACTCTGATTTCAAATCGATTTTGTTGAAGCCTTGACAACTTTGCACCATATCAAGCAAGTCATCGATCCTAGGCAAGGACTCGCAGCTCTTCCTAGTGATCTTTGTTCAGTCCTCTATAGTCTATACACATTCTGAGTTCACCATTTCCCTTTGGAAAAAAGAAATGGGGGGGGCACACTTAGATGAGTTAGGCCTGATTCATACCTTCTCGGTCAAGTACTCTAACTGCTTCCTCAACTCAATCATTTCAGCAGACTCTTCCTTTAGGAGTGGTAGTGTAGCATATCAGAAAGTGAAATGCACTGAAAGCCTAGGATCTAGCAATGACGAAAGTGGCAACAACCAGCAGCATAGGTGCAACATTCACAAGGTGTCAATGTGCGCGACGCAAAGAGTGAAACAACGGGAAATCAATAACAACACATTCGTATCATCATCATCATAGGCTGGGAAGCAGCGCAGCGGAAGATTTAGTATCAAAGGACACGTGGACAACAACATGAAAAGGAGAAAACTTCGGAAGGG